TGTTAGAATTTACATACACAATCATCTCTTTTGTCCACCAAACTATCCAAAACCCATGAATTGTCACAAAATAATAAAATGAGAGAACTTGAGTAATATTGTCTATCCTAGAAACTTTCATGTTAATACTCTAACACAAACACCTATAGTGCTAAACTAGTTAAACTAATATAAATCAAGTTTCTCCAATCCAATTATTTTAAAAGTGACATAAAAAGATCAATTAGGACTTTTATTCGGCTTGTAACGGGGCTAAGGATAAGTGGGCAAACAAAGAAAGGGTATAAAGGACAAACAAAAAGAGATAGATTATACTTATTTTGATCAGGAACTCAAAAATTATTACAAATGTAACTATGGAGCAAGGTAAACAAATGACTCGAAAATGAAAAATGACAATTATTTTACAAAGAATACAGTAAATGGTACGGGCATTTTTTATTTATTTACTTTTTATGCCCAAGAAGAATAAAGTCTAAAAATCTAAAGAGTTCAAGATTAGTGTGCTTCTTTTTTTCAACTTTTTTTTTATTTTTATTTTTTTATTTTTTTATTTTTTGCTTTTTTTTAACCTTTTTTTAAACTTTTTTTTATTCTTTTTTTTAAGACACACTAAGTTATTATTATCTTTACAAAGACAAAGAATGTACAACTTTGATACAAAAGAAACAAAATGACATACTCAATTATTTACAAAAATGCACAGTGCTCCAATTATTAACTTTTTTTAAGAGTTCCTTCTCAAATAATAAGACAATCTACTCTAGGGTGGAAGGATAATTTATTTTGGCAAAATGGTTTAGGGTTAAATATTTACAGGGTAACAAGAAGAAAAAAAATAAATAAGAGATAAGTGGTAACACTTATTTACAGAAAAAGGCTCAAAAGGGGACAACTAGGGATTATTTTTTTTTGAATTGGGTAGGCTTGGTTTGAGAGGTTAAACAAAGATGGCCTATATCATGTCTAAATGTGTCAAATTAAAACATCATTTTCATGGAGAACAAATGTGAAACATCATGGTCTATAAAAGTCATAACTAAGTTTAGCTAGTAAACCAATAAATTGGAAAAACTCTATGGTATTCTATGTTAAATTATTAACAGAAATTAACTCAAGGCTCAGACACAGTTACTCTCAAGATGTTATAATGAAACAACTCTCAAACTCATACCACATTCCGTCAAAAGAGATGATTTTGTAATTTACAAAGTTATGTATATAAATATTAACAAGACATATAAACAAAGAATTTGTAAGTTCAATTTTAGTTTTCGGAACAAGACTGTTCATCATTCAACACAAACACACAAAAACAAAACAAAAATGAAAAATAATTTTTTTTTTTTATTTGAAAATACACACAAAAAATCAAGTTTTATTTACTCACTCCCCCACACTTAAAATTTACACTGTCCTCAGTGTAAAATAAATGAAGGAGAATTAAGTAAACAATTCCTAAAAAAAATTGGTAAATTGATTTTTATGTACATGGCGTGAATTGGAAAATGCCTTATTGAAATTCAATTACCTTATTAAATAAAATCAGAATTTGAAAACTTGGGTTGCCTCCCAAGAAGCGCTTATTTATGGTCATTAGCTTGACCAATGCAATCACTTATATTCAGGCATTTCGAGGAAATAGAGTAACATTCCCTCTTGGTGATCGTTGGCAAGATAACGCTTCAAACGTTGCCCATTTACAATGAATTTGGCGTTATCTTTGCCACAAAGTTGCACAGCTCCGGAGGGAAATGCTTCCACTACCTCGAATGGTCCGGACCACCGAGTCCTCAGCTTACCAGGGAATAATTTAAAGCGAGAGTTATAAAGAAGTACCTGGTCTCCTGGTGCGAAATCTCGTTTAGAGATTACCTTGTCATGCAGTTGTTTGGTTCGCTCCTTGTAGATTTTGGAATTTTCATAAGCTGCGAGTTTGAACTCTTCGAGCTCATTCAACTGCAACATTCTCTTTTCACCCGCCAATGAGAGATCCATGTTGAGATTTTTAACAGCCCAAAATGCTCTGTGTTCTAGCTCAACAGGAAGATGACATGCCTTCCCATATACAAGATGATATGGGGAGGTGCCAATGGGATTTTTGAAAGCCGTACGGTATGCCCATAAAGAATCGTCAAGCTTGTCAGACCAATCCTTTCTTGAAGGATTAACAACCTTCTCAAGGATGCTTTTGATTTCTCTGTTTGAAAGCTCGACTTGACCATTTGTTTGCGGGTGGTACGGGGTCGAGAGTCGGTGATGAACCCCGTACTTTGCAAGAACTCGTCCCAAAAATGGGTTCCATTGTCGGTGATGATTGCTCTTGGGACTCCAAATCGAGAGAAAATGTTCTCTCGAATAAATTTGATCACCGCTTTTGAATCATTTGTGGACGTGGCAATTGCTTCAACCCATTTTGATACATAATCCACAGCCACGAGGATGAATTCCTTTCCATTTGACTTCGGAAATGGGCCCATGAAATCAAGGCCCCATACATCAAATACTTCAACTTCAAGAATGCCCCTTTGAGGCATTTCATTTCTCCTCCCGATGTTTCCAGTGCGTTGACAACGGTCGCAACTTTTAACAAAGGTGTTGGCATCTTTGAAAAGAGTAGGCCAAAAGAAACCAGATTGTAACAGCTTTGCTGCTGTGCGGGAGCTACCATGGTGTCCTCCGTAGGCGGAAGAATGGCAATGATGTAAGACATTTGTAACTTCATCCTCGGGCAAACATCTTCGTATGACTCCATCAGCACAAATTTTGTAGAGGAATGGTTCCTCCCAAATGTAAGTTCGGGAGTCATATTGCAACTTCTTCTTTTCTGCATGAGTTGCTCCAGTTGGAATTATTCCATTTGAAAGATAATTTGCTATGTCAGCAAACCATGGATCAATGCTTTTAGCGAGCATAAGTTGTTCTCCGATGAAGTAATCATTGATCGGTATAGTTTTTGCTTCAGGAATTTCCAACCTTGATAAATGGTCAGCAACCACATTTTCCGACCCCTTTCGGTCTTTGATCTCCATATCAAATTCTTGTAGTAAAAGAATCCATCTTAGGAGCCTTGGTTTGGAGTCTTTCTTTGCCATGACGTATTTGATAGCAGCATGATCAGTGTACACAATAATTTTGCTTCCGATGAGATATGATCGGAACTTCTTAATGGAAAAGACTACCGCAAGAAACTCTTTTTCAGTTGTTGCATAATTGAGTTGTGCATCATCAAGAGTATGGCTTGCGTAGTATATGGCATAGACTTCTCTCCCCTTGCGTTGGCCTAGAACAGCTCCGACTGCATAATCACTTGCATCACACATGATTTCGAATGGTAAGTTCCAGTCGGGTGGCCTTATAATTGGAGCAGTTGTTAAGGCCATCTTCAGCTTTGAAAAAGCTTCTTGACAATCAGCATCAAAATTAAAATCTACATCCTTAGACAGTAGATTTGTCAAGGGTTTTGAGATTTTAGAGAAATCTTTGATGAAACGACGGTAGAATCCAGCATGACCGAGAAAACTCCGAATTCCTTTTACAGAATTCGGTGGTGGCAACTTTTCGATGACTTCAATCTTCGCTGGATCAACTTCAATACCACTTTCAGAGATTTTGTGGCCAAGTACAATTCCTTCTGTTGCCATGAAATGGCATTTCTCCCAATTTAGTACAAGATTGGCTTCTTCGCATCTGCTCAGCACTTTGTCTAAATTCATTAGACAATCTTCAAATGAATTCCCATAGACAGAGAAATCATCCATGAATACCTCCATGATCTCCTCGATGTATTATGAGATAATAGCAATCATACACCTTTGAAAAGTCGCAGGTGCATTACAAAATCCAAATGGCATTCTTCGATATGCGAATGTGCCATAAGGACATGTAAATGTCGTCATTTTTTGATCATGAGGATGAATCGAGATTTGAAAGAATCCCGAGAAGCCATCTAGAAAACAGAAATAAGAATGTTTGGCCATTCTTTCCAGCAGTTGATCAATGAACGGGAGAGGAAAATGATCCTTCCGAGTGGCTTTGTTTAACTTTCAGTAATCAGTGCACATGCGCCAGCCAGTAAGTAACCATTCGGGTAGGAATAAGTTCATTGTTGTCGTTTTTAACAACGGTAATTCCTCCCTTTTCGGAACCACATGAATAGGGCTAACCCATTTGCTGTCTGAAATGGGATAGATGATTCCTGCTCTCAACAACTTTAGCACTTCTTTCTTGACAACGTCTTTCATGTTTGGACTAAGACGTCGTTGGTGCTCAATGCTTGGTTTATGTTCCTCTTCAAGATAGATACGGTGCATGCAATATGAAGGACTAATTCCGACAATATTGTCAATGGTGTAACCAATTATCCTCCGGTGTTCCCTAAGGACTTTAAGCAACTTCTCCTCTTGTTCAGCATTTAGGGAAGAGTTGATGATCACCGGATAAGTAGAGTCGGGCTGTAACGCCCCAAAAATAGGCCTATCAAAGTTAATTAATTTATAATTAATTAACTATTGAGAAGGACCCAAAAATAAGTAAATTCTAAAGTTTGTCAATAAATAATGAAAATCATATCATTATGTAGAGTTTGACTGTCTGACCCCAACGGTTCAATCGGATTTCAATTTGGGGAAACTTGGAACAAAAAGTGTACCCCAACTGGGACCAAAATTAGTCCCAATCAGGGACTACACACCAAACGGTGCCCTGTTCAATTACGCCGATTCCAAATCGTCGCTCAATCACGGAAGCTGCAACCCATGTCTTCTTCCTTCCTCACTTGGCTATTTAAGGACAACCCAACTCCCTCATTTCATCACCAAAACAACTCTTTCTTCCTTCTATATTGTTCCTTGCTGAGAGTAGAGTGCAGTGGTGCTGTCATCTTTGTGTGAGGTCGCCGGAGCAGTGAGATAGAGTCGCCGGAAGGTTCGCCGGAAAATCTTCAAAACCTCCCTTACGTTTCAAGGTAAGCCCGTAGATATATCTAAAGATTAGAATGTTCATATAGGTTGTTTTTACGTTCATAAATGGTCATTTGGTTGAGTTTTGTGTTTGACATGTTTGAAAAACCAAGAATCATAAACTTGATTTTGATGTTAAAAATATGTTTTAATGATTCTTAAATGATCTATGAACCTTGGAGAGCATTTCTATATAGTTTAATTGAAGTTTGGTAACTAAAATTGAAATGTCCGAAAATGGACCGAAGAGGACTGATGAGAGTGTTGGAGGATCTTAACGTACCCATTGGCAACTATCCCCGACTGGCGTCTCAGCTACTTCGCAAGGAAGCCTACGAGTGGTGGAAGAGGACTGATGAGAGTGCAAGAACCCCTAAGCCATGGACATGGACACATTTCGAATGGGCATTCAAACAAGAATATATTCCAAAACGTTTTAGTGAAGAAAAACGTAAGGAATTTGTCGAATTGCAACAGGGAGACATGACACTCCCCGAGTATCGTCAGAAGTTTACCAGTCTTGCTAAGTTTGCACCAACCTTGGTGAGTACCCCAACGGATCGCATCGAGGAATTCAGGAAGAAACTTCGACCTGACCTTAGGTCGCGTGTGTCCGTCCTAACCACCGTTGATTTCGCGGAGGCCTATGATCTCATAGCCAAGGCAGACAGCGACTCGAGTGCTTGCATTGAGTATCTGAAGACAAATAATGTCAGTTCAAGCACTCACCGTCCCATCAGCTCTATCTCAAAAGGAAAAAAGCCCTTCCAGGAATCTAGCAATTCACACTTCTCAAAGAAGGGGAAATCGTTGCAGACGCACTCTGTGGCGTCGGAAAACAAATCAAGAGGGTGGAAACACCCATTGTGCGATACATGTGGGAGACATCATCCAGGCGAGTGTTGGCTTGCCCAAGGATTATGTCTAGGTTGCGGCAAACCTGGACATTTTCGAAGGGATTGCCCCACTAATCCTGGAAAACCATTTCCGACAGCCCCAGTTGTCAGCCAATCAGCATCAGCACGACCTGCGCCAAGTCAACGATCAACGTCGGGATCTAATCCGGCCAAGAACCAGAGTCAGCAACAGGGACGAGCTCCTGCTCGTACTTATGCAATGAAGGCACGAGCTGAGGAAAACCCTGACGTCATTCAGGGTATGTTTTCCTTATTTGATTCTGTCATGCATGTGTTGATAGACCCTGGATCAACGTTATCTTATATCTGCGTGCCTATGCCTGACAAGGCTGACGTAATGAAAGAAAACTTAGAACAACCTATACTAGTGTCTAACCCGTTAGGACATAGTATGAGGTTANTTCTCTGCCAATCTTGTCGAATTACCGTACAAAGAATTTGACATCATCCTCGGAATGGATTGGCTCACCGAACACCAAGCAATTATCGATTGCCGACGACGAACGATTCAACTAAAGTCTGGAGAGGGAAAGTCTATAGAGGTGAAAGAGAATCTAACACCTAGATCCACTGAATTCATCTCGTACATACACGCTAGGCGTCTCATTCGAAAGAAATGTGAAGCTTATCTGTGTAACGTACGTGACACACGAAAAGAAACTCCTGAGTTGAAAGACATACTGACAGTATGTGGTTTTCCTGACGTATTTCCTGACGAACTTCCTGGTATACCATCTTCCAGAGAAGTAGAATTTTCCATCGATCTTGTTCCTGGAACAGGACCGATATCTGCAACTCCCTATCTGAAATGAAAGAGTTGAAGGCTCAACTACAAGAACTACTCGATAAAGGATTCATACGTCCGAGTGTTTCCCCTTGGGGACCACCCGTCCTGTTTGTCAAAAAGAAAGACGGCTCGATGAGACTCTGCATCGATTACCGTCAATTGAACAAAGTCACAATCAAAAATCGATATCCTTTACCTCGTATCGATGACTTATTTGATCAGCGTAGAGGATCTACTGTATTCTCTAAGATTGACTTACGGTCAGGATACCATCAAATCCCTGTAAAGAAAGAGGACATCCCAAAGACTGCATTCCGTACTCGTTATGGTCATTATGAGTTTACGGTAATGCCCTTTGGTTTGACCAATGCTCCAGCAGTATTCATGGATCTCATGAATAGTGTATTCCGACCTTATCTTGATCAATTCGTGGTTGTATTCATTGATGCTATTCTTGTCTATTCGAAGAATCGAGAAGACCATGCGAAACATTTGGAGATAGTACTCAGCATACTACGGGAACATAAACTATATGCTTTTCCTCGATCGCTACTCCACTTAACAATCTTCTGAGAAAAGATGTGAAATTTGTATGGACCGATGCATGTCAGCAAAGCTTTGAGAAACTAAAGAAATGTGTGACAGAAGCACCTGTGCTAACCCAACCAGTACCAAGTGTTGGGAAACGAGGCTTGGATAACGCAGCGGAAAACAAAAATTTATAGTCCAAAACTCGATTCCACCCAAGAACAACTTACGTAAATTACTAGCTATAGTAAGAAATTTACCTTAACGGTGAAAACAGAGAACGGAGAAACGGTCGGGGATGGTTTTGAGGAGATGAACGTAGCGCCAAACGTATGAAGCCTCCAACGTATCCACACGAACTTGCTCCGGAGTCCAAGATTAAACTTGTGCTAGCAAGTTTAATATAGGATAGTAAAAACTATAATAATACTACTTTGGGAGTAATAAATATATAGTAAAATATTTATCTTATAAATATTTCTTTAT